AACACACATTCAGATCAATTGCATTCATACCAAAAGTCTGTGCGCTTTGAGCGGCTGATCCAAAGTATGGACAATATGTAAGATCATAGCGCAGGGAACGGCAGAATCGGTTGCGCCCACAAAGAGACCGCTTTCCGATAGCTTTGAGTCGTAATGACAGGAAAGGACTAATCGTTTGCACGCTTTCGGGTTAAGAGTGGCGATGATATTAGCGAAGCGTTTCGGTCCGTACGGAGTATTATCGGTGAAGTCGTCCGCTTCCACAGACCAGTCCAGACCTCTCATCGTTTCGGTGATGTACTGACGGACAGCCAAATGGCCATCACTTTCGGGCACTCGTGGAATGAGCAGCCGATCCAACGTGTCGTTGAAGTGTCGATATTCTTCGTGAGCGACTCGTGTGATGAGTTGATAGTCTTGGTCTGCGAGTGGTTTGGCGCTGACGTGCCATTTGGTGGGACTCCAGTTCACGGCCTTCACATATGGGCTCTCATTCATGATATACTTAATTAAAGCAATAATCGGCAACAAAAGCAATGCGTTTAATACTGCCATTCAATTAACCAATTAATTAATTGCTTCAAAATTAATACTTTAAAAAAAATGATTAAATTTGTCTCTCTTTACACGTCATTCACTATTCACTTGATTACAGATAAGTTATTGTTTTGTAAGAGTTTACATACTTTTCATCATTTGTTGCACGAAAACAACCTCTCATTCAATGTTTTAAACAACATTTTAAAGTTATAAAAAAATTAATACAATTAAACTATAAATTTAAATAACATTTACAATAAACAAATCACTCAAACTTATCGTCAAAATAGAGTGACATTACGTTACATAACATGTATTTCTATGTGTTTTGAATGTTATTTTGCATTTCATAACTACATGTGACTCAAAGAGTGGGTATTTCTAGCAAATAGTTTGCAAACCAAACAATTTGTAAATTGTCTCAACAGTTAATGTGTGAAATGTACGGCACTTTGCGATCAATGTGTCAATCAATGTGTGGCTAATGTTGTGTCCATTGATTAGTACATTGAGTGCCAATCAGTACATAACGTGTGAACTTTTTGCACTCTTTTAGTGCACAGAGTCTTCAATACACTTGAAAACAACAATCAGTTTAGCATTCATTACAATTCACACCCGAAATAACGTCTTACATTGAGTGCCAATCAGTACATAACGTGTGAACTTTTTGCACTCTTTTAGTGCACAGAGTCTTCAATACACTTGAAAACAACAATCAGTTTAGCATTCATTACAATTCACACCCGAAATAACGTCTCCCATAACCGCCTCTTGAGTCGACCCCCGAATGCCTTCGTGTGTTGTAATCGTCGAGCGATTATTGCGGACGTAATTGACGGACAAATTTAGGGATAAAATGATGTAATGTATGGCAAATCACGAGTCGATTGATTCGCACACAAAAACGATTGCAATTGAGTTTACAATTGATTCAATCGTTTTCAAACATACAATTTGCATTAAATACAACCTAATATTAAAATCATAAATTCACTTTTACAAATTATATTTAATAAACTTATTAACTCAATATGTATATTTTGTTAGTAGCTAACATGGGCATATAAGCCAATAGAGATTCAGAGTTTAATTATTCAAATATGATTCAATAATTGATTGGCAAATTTGAAAATTAAAGCCAGCTCATTTGATGAGTGTGTAATTCATCAAACCGGGCAGTCATCCTGTATATGAAGGGACTCTAATTTTGTGACATAAAAATTTGTTTATAAATGCGTAAATTTTATTGTAAATAATATTTAAAAATTATTAGCTTTTTAATTTGACAAAGCAATTATTATTGTAATTGCAATAGAATTTATTATAAATCAGCTAAAATAATAACGATTTAATCATAAATAACGTACAAATTTGTCACTAATTTTATTTTTCACCATATCTTTTTGAAAAATTCATTAGAACCAAAAATATTTTTAGATCTTGATTCCCCCATAAAATATATCCACTGATATATGATATAATATAGTGTAATTTTTATTAAATACAAAATTTAATTTAAACATTTTCATTGATTAAAATGGTTACTGCGACCAAACCCAAGGTTTTCTAATTATATATCTAATTATATAATTTATACACTTGACACATAGCAGTGTACTTTCATTTTATGACAATCAATCATAGTTGCCCGTTTAAAAATTTTAAAAACTATTATCAATTTAGCATTAAAACTATTAATATAAAATATCCGTAATAACAAAGAAAATGATGATACAAACAAAGAATATTGAAACAAATACAATGAAAATTTTGAAAAAAATAATATTCATTTAATACTTTTAAAATAAAAAAAACTAAAATTGCAAGTTATAAAACAGCTATTTATGTACACTTTTTATTCTTTTTGTATTATTTGTATAAATTGTTATATAAATTTTGAAAAATATGGATATTTTTATTTTTTGTGTAATATCCTACTGTTGAATATAATGTCAGAATTTTGGTGTTCATGAAATAGAGTGAAATTGTATTTTGATACAGGCAAATCTATTAACTGGCCCGTGGATTAAGTGTTAAAGCTGAACTTGCCTGATTTTGAGTACAATTTTTATAGATAATACTGTAGGACACAATTCTTGCAGTAATAATCTGAGGACACTTTAAGTGCTATTATATTATACAAATACATATGCTTAAGTATTATACAAATAGATTACAAATACAAAATTAGATCTAAAATAATCAAATTAGTGTAAATAATAAAAGTTAGCAAATCAATATAAACTCTAAACTTTTAATGTGTATAAACTAATTAACTTTTTATATAAAGTTAATTATATAAAAAATTTTATAAATGTAAAACTTTTACCTTTCACGTTTAAGTGTATATACTGTACATTGAAATACTAACTGAAATGTTTCAAAATTATTATATCTAAATGTCTTGATAAATACATATAATTTATATGATATAAAATTAAAATTAATTAACTACCAGTTCTAACTTTAATAATAAACCATGTATATTTAACAATTAACATACTATTTAAGATTTGTATACATTATATATAATGTAATTATGTCAATAATTATTATGCTATTACTTAATATTTAAATAATTAATGTCATAATATTGATTGACATTAAGAAACCGCATGTGACTGACAAATGTACTTAATTATTGCGATAATTTATAATCATAATAACTTCATTATTTCCCCATTACTTCATTAATAGTGTCTATCATATCACTTCTAACTATAAATAGCAGATAAAAATTAATTAATTTTCATTTCAATTAAATACTTGCTTCACGTCTTCATTAAAGGATTATAAATTTAAAACAATTTAATAAAACTTTATAAAATTGTGACAAAAAACATACAATGGGTTTGCTATCAATCGGACAACCATTGACTCCCAGGGAGAACAGGAAACACGCGCCACACGTGCGGAGACACGGAATCAAACAATTCATTAATATCTATAACCAAAACAAAGACCGAATCGACCGGTGCTTCAAATGGGGCGATGAGANATTTATGAATCCTAAACTTTTCATTCTTCAGCGGTTTCTCTCCCAACTCTTCTCGCGTCCGGTCGTCGACACCGTTTGATATGACATCCCATCGACAGTCTCTATCCGATAGATAGCCCCTATAGATGGGTCCACCGGCGCTCAAAGCCATCATAATGGGCGCCAATTGTGCCATTTGGTCGTTCAAAACAAATACTCGATGTTATGTATGAGAGGGAAGAGAGGGAGGGAGCGAACCGGCGGGTGCTGTGGAGGCCAGAGTACGGCGAGTTCCAGATCGAGGCCACACCCGGACAGCCATACGGACACCAAAACGAGTTAAACGACGACAATATTTGGCACAATCTGTTCAATACGGTTGAGGAGAATATGAAGAGCCGGCGCCGGGAGATCCGAGAGCTGCTCGATCACGATGAAGCTATTATATGCATCACAAACTTTCCTAGGTAAACTCTATTAAAGCATCAAGGACACTCAAATTAACACGTTAAATAATTTACAGATTAGGCAACGAAGACATAAGTGTACCCTATTGTAGAGCTGATCCGGCGAACAGCACAACAGGCAGTATCTTTGCTTCGGATGAGTTGACCTGCATTTTTCATCCGCGGTATTTGAGGACCAGTTATAATGTGGTCCAACGCAGGGGTCGAAAGGTGGCCATCAATGTTCCCATTTCGCCGGGAGATCCGAGAGCTGCTCGATCACGATGAAGCTATCATATGCATCACAAACTTTCCTAGGTAAACTCTATTAAAGCATCAAGACTAACTCAAATTAACACTTTAAATAATTTACAGATTAGGCAACGAAGACATAAGTGTCCCCTATTGTAGAGCTGATCCGGCGAACAGCACAACAGGCAGTATCTTTGCTTCGGATGAGTTGACCTGCATTTTTCATCCCCGGTATTTGAGGACCAGTTATAATGTGGTCCAACGGAGGGGTCGAAAGGTGTCCATCAATGTTCCCATTTTCAAAGACACCAAAACTCCGGACCCTTTCGTCGAGATATTCAACGACAAGGAGTCAAAGAGAGCGGCAAAAGTGGATCACATTTACTTAGACTCCGGTGTGTTTGGGATGGGATGCTGTTGTCTACAGGTTTAAGGATATTCATCGCTATTAATAAAACATTTAAATTAATGCCACATTTTAATGGCCGGACTTATAGGTCACACTTCAGGCCACAAACATAGACGAGGCGATGGTTTTGAACGACCAAATGGCACAATTGGCGCCCATTATGATGGCTTTGAGCGCCGGTGGACCCATCTATAGGGGCTATCTATCGGATAGAGACTGTCGATGGGATGTCATATCAAACGGTGTCGACGACCGGACGCGAGAAGAGTTGGGAGAGAAACCGCTGAAGAATGAAAAGTTTCGGATTCATAAATCACGTTACGCTCCCATTAATACATATCTGTGTGAATGTAATGCTAAATATAATGACAACCCTATTGTGTATAACACGGAGTTTTACAATGAGATGATCAGTGCCGGAGTGACACCATCTCTGGCTCAACACATGGCATATGTGTTCATTAGAGACCCGACGATCACATATCGCGAGAAATTGGATCAAAACGATAGCACAGAAACGGATCACTTCGAGAATATTCAGTCAACCAATTGGCAGACAATGAGGTTTAAACCGCCGCCTCTTAACCAACAGTCCATCGGTTGGAGAGTAGAGTTCCGTCCGATGGAGATCCAGATGACTGACTTCGAAAACGCCGCCTTTTCTGTCTTCACTA